CGCCCAGCATCTGGGGGCCGGCGTGAGCCGGTCCCCGGGTGACAGGTCCTGCCCAGCGCCCAGCATGCCCAGGCAGCCGTGCGGGGGCACGGTGCCGGAAGCAGCCCCGTACTTTCAGGTGACCCGACGCGGCAGCTTTTCTTCCAAAGACACCGAGCCGGGGAACCCGAGCGGAGACCCGGCTGCGCCGCATCTCATCTTGCCCCTGGAACGCACGAGCCCTCGGCTGCCCAGACCCCTGGGAAGCGTGTGCCTGGAAAGCTCCCGTACAAACGTGAATCCTGAGTAAAACCGGCTCTGAAATCTGGACTGGCTTAGGCATTCCAGTCCTGGTGGGCGGGCGTGGACGTGCCAGGGAAGAGAATGGAGCAAGTAATGAAGGAATTCATTTGCAAGCACCTGGAAGATAATAAGGTGAGAGGGCACAGCCAGCATGGATCTGTAAAGAGCAAATCCTGCCAGACCAATCTGATCACTTTCTTCGATAGGATACCAAGCCTTGTGGCTAAAGGGAAGCGGTGGATGTGGATACCTAGACTCTAGTAAGGCCTTTGACATGGTCTCGCGTGATCTTCTCTTCAATAAACTAGGCAAATACAACCTAGATGGGCTACTGTAAGGCGGGTGCAGAACCGGCCGGAGAACCGTTCTCAGAGAGCAATTATTAACAGTTCACAGTCATGCTGGAAGGGCAGAACTAGCGGGGTTCCGCAGGGGTCTGTTTCTGTAGCTAGAATACTGTTCGATCTTGGAGGACAGGAAAAAAGTAGGAGTCCTATGGCACCATAAAGACTAACAAATATATGGGAATGGGCAGTGGCTGTCTAGGGAGGATACTGCAGAAAGGGATCTAGGGGTCAGAGCGAACCACAAGCTAAATACGAGTCATCAGTCTGACACGGTTGCAACAAAAGCAAAGCTGATTCTGGGATGTTTTCACAGGAGTGTTGTGAGCGAGACAGGAGGAGTCATTCTTCCGCTCTCCTCTGCGCTGATTAGCCTCAGTTGGGTACCGCATTCTTCCGCTCTCCTCTGCGCTGATTAGCCCCAGTTGGGTACCACAGCCAGTTCTGGGCACTGCATTTCAGGAAAAATGTGGAGAAATTGGAAAGAGCCCAGAGAAGAGCAACAAAAATGATGAGTGGTCTGAAAACATGAGCTGTGAGGGAAGACGGAAAGAATTTTGTTTGTTTAGGTTGGAATAGAGAAGGCGGAGAGGGGACACGATAGCAGCTTTCAAGCTCCTAAAAGGGTGTCACAAAAATTAACCTCTCAGGACAGGTCAAGAAGCAATTGGCTTAAATTATGGCAAGGAAGGTTCAGGTTGGACATTCGGAAATGTTTCCTGAGGCAGGGTCTACACTAGGACCTTAGTCTGAAATTAACCCCCCAAGGTCGATTTTCTAAGCGATACATCCACATGACCAAACCTGTTATTCCGGAATAAGGCGCTGCAGAATCTGAACTCTGCTTTTCATGAGGAGTAACGCTCGTCCCCAACTTGCTATATGAAATACTGTTAGGCTGTGTCTACA